GATGTCTACAGTGGAGTGTCCTACTACCTTGTCACATGCCTCTCTGGAAGTAGTGCTATGTCCGAAGATAAGTGATAAATACTTATACTTATAACTTGATAGCAATGGAAACATCTTCAGTATAGTATAGAATCACAAAACTCCCAGAAGAAGCGAGCTTGGTGGCACACACCTTTTGTCCTAGTACTTATGGGGCAGAGAGAGGCAGACCTCGGTGATTTCAAAGCCAACCTGGTCTACATAGAGAGTAACAGAACACCCTGGGCCAAATAGTGAGAAACTGTCTCTGTCTCTTAAAAACAAGGAAAGAATGGAAGAAAATAAAGAAGGAGGGAGGGAGGGAAGGAGGGAGGGAGGGAGGAAGGGAGGGAGGGAGGGAGGGAGGGAGGGAGGGAGGAGAACCCTTCCCAAAAGCAGTCTGCAAAGCCATACTGAATCCATGCTGCTGAATCCTGCACAAATGGCTGTCCCCAGGACCAGCTTCCGTTCAGTGAGTAAGCTAGCTTAGATGCAAAACTGAGTGTGAGGTTTAAGGAAAACTCTTACCTCCTAAACACTGCAAATATCAGGAGGCAGAATCAGTTTTGCTTCCCCATGATGCTGACCCTTTTCTGAGGACCTGCATAGGTCTCGAGAACCCACACTCCTACAACCCACCCCTTTCGTGTGCTCTGATCAGAATATGGGTGTTCGCAAGGCCGCACAGCCCCAGAATGTTTCTGTTAGTGGGCACTAGCTTAAAGTGCCCTGTCCGCCCCGCCACTCACGCCACTGATGACGGGGCCAAAAAGGGACATTGCTAGTTGCTCAGCTGTCCCATGGAGAGGGCTCTCCTTCCTTTCTTCCTTGGCCTGCTCTTTGAGTCTCTCCCCAATCTGGGCTCCTGCTTCCCTCTCAGACTGTCTCCTGCCTGGGCAGGGACTTCTCTGTTTCCATCTCATCACACCCCTACCTCTATATTCGGAATATGTCCAGGAACCCTGGCCAAAGCCCGCAAATTTATCACCTTGGTAATGACAGCATGCCTCATGCTGAGCGAATTCTGCAATCTCCCTCAGCTCCTCCTTTGCCAAAACCCACGGAGCTGCAAGATCCTACCGATTAGAGTGACTGTTATCTTTGCTTGAAGAATGCCTCTGCAGGCAAGTGTAATTAGGTATCAGCCATAAGGCTATTTTTGGAAGCTTGTTTAGGGATATGGCCCTCCCACCGTAAATGCCATATGGTGGGGGATGTCCGTCAATTTGCCACAATTGAGCATTGGGGATTACATTTTACAGCTGCCTTTATCAATATGTGATATTATAAAGGCCACAGTTTTGGTCCCTTAGAGGCGCCTTATTCTGAGTGTATTTGCATATTTGTGGAGTTTAGAAAATTTTCCCTTTTTATTTACATGTGCAAACCAAGTCCTATGGAAAATCCTTAACCCCTCGCATTCTACAAAAGCCTGCTGCAGGGATGGGGAGGCTATCACTGAATGGGAAGCAGGGCAACTGGAGACAGACTCGGCCAGACTGCTACTGTGGAAGGGTACAGGGCTGGGAGGGGCTTTGTCAGGGAGGGACATTGTCAGGCACAAAAGGGAGAGAATCCTCTGCAGAACTTTGGGAGGGAGTTTTTGTGGGAGGACTGTAGGGCTTCAAAATAGGACTTCCTTTTTTAAAATTTCCATCTAAATTTTTTATTCCTTAAAATTGTAATAAAATTGCATCATTTCTCCCCCTCCTGTTATTCCCTCTAAATCCTCCATGTGCCCCCATCTTTCAAATTCACACTTTTCTCTTTAGTTATACGTATTCTTAAACACATAAATACAAACTGCTCAATCCATATAATGTTATTTGTATGTACATTTTCAAGGCTGACCATTTAGCATGGAAAACCAATTGGGGTGCTTGGAATCCCAGAACTCTAAGGTAGAGACAGGCAGACTCCTCGGGCTCCCTGGCCAGCCAGCTTAGTCAAAGTGACCTTCAGGCTCAGTGAGACACCCTGCCTTTTCAGATGTGCTGAGTGCTTGACTTCCCCGTGCCCCCACATGTGTGTGCACCCTGACTTCCAGTGCCCCCACATGTGTGTGTGCACCCCCTGACTTCCCCATGCCCCCACATGTGTGTGCACCCCCTGACTTCCCTGTCCCCCACATGTGCGTGCACCCCCTGACCTCCAGTGCCCCCACATGTGTGTGCACCCCCTGACTTCCACATGCCCCCACATGTGTGTGCACCCCCTGACTTCCACATGCCCCCACATGTGTGTGCACCCCCTGACTTCCACATGCCCCCACATGTGTGTGCACCCCCTGACTTCCACATGCCCCCACATGTGTGTGCACCCCCTGACTTCCACATGCCCCCACATGTGTGTGCACCCCGACTTCCCCATGCCCCCACATGTGTATGTGCACCCCCATACAGACAGACACATACACACAAATTTATTGGAGAACAATTTTGGTATGCCGTGATTTTACCATTTGTTAAATACAAAAGGAAATGTACATGCTAATGAGGCAGCTCTGGGTGGGAGGGAAGTCTCGCCTGGCTATCGTGAACTGCAGGGTAAAGGGGTCTTCAGCATTTCCCGTAGGGATCAACGTTTGATTTATAATTATCAATGTTGAGAACGTGGCTTCCCGTAAGCACATAGCAAATGTAGTAGAAGTGTGTTTAGGGCCATTCCAAATGACTGGAAGTTCTATCCTAATACTGAACTAAACACCATTTAACAGTTTTTAAATGAACAACCCCATCATCTTCTTTTTAAATCAAATGTCCTAATACAATTCAAAGAAATGCTACTTTGATACTTACATGTTGAGCAATAACGTGGGAAAACATTTAAAAATCTTCACTTTCTGGAATTAAAGCATCATGCTTCTTTAAGAGAAGAAAACTGTGTATGCACATGAGAATACAGCAGTTGATAAAAGCCGGGTTTCCTCCCAGCTCCCCAGCACACTCCCAAGGTTTCACCCTTCCCTGCTTAGAACTGGGAACAATTATTGCTCAGGCCCATCCGTGGCTCCCTCTCTGTATCTAACCTTCTCCAGTGAGGAAATACAGAAGGCAGTGAGCAGCCGGCAGGTGCCCCCAGCCCTCGAGCCGTGGATCGTGACTCCTGGAGGCGGGGGTCAAACAACCCTTTCACAGGATAGCTTATCAGATATTTACTTTACATTCATAACTCAGCACATAACTTCACAGTTGTGAAGAAGCAGTGAAAATAATTTATGTCTGGAGGTCACCACAGCCTGAGGAACTGTAATAAAGGGTCCCAGGTGATCACATACCTGGAAGCAGTGCCCCACCCCCACCCAGAGATCTCCGAAGAACTGAGGATGCTCAACCTGGAGGGGCAGCCGAATCAGGAAGAGTGTGGCATCCTCTGCCAACCAGAAATGCCCCCTTTCCATGCTGGCCCTCATGACAGAAGCTGATGTGGGCTCCACATGTTAGCCTGTTCTATACAGCTTCACTGTGAAACTGCTTGGGATGGGGGCTCCAGCTCATTCTTTAGGATTAAGCTGAGCTCTGCCATCCTCAATCCCTGTGTCACCTAGATCTCTCCTGTGAACACCTCAGATCTCCCCACCCTCACCTTGAAACTCTGTGTCCTTATGTGCTACAGGAAATACAGGAGACAAGGGGGCACCAAGGCTCCCCGGCTCCTCCCAGTGTCCAGTGTCCTGGTCTCAGTTCCCACTTGGAACTGCAATAGGCAGGGCTGACAATAGTGTGCTGAGCCCCAGAACACACACTAACCCCAGAATTGTCTGTGTCTCAAGCCCCCAACCTTGGGTTTTTAGAGATAGGGGAAACCCAGAGTCACTGAGTCCCAAATCCTTCAAGGACAGGACCTCTCTCTTACCACCCATGACGTGCCTGGTGCCTTCGAGAGGTGATTGCTGCCGTCCTGGGAGACTGAGAACACGTGATCCCTTTGATGGCACTGACCCTTGTGAACCTTTTCCTCCTCACACCAAGTCCTCAGGGTCCCGCACTGAACCTGGAGTTCACTGCTCTGCCTTTCCTATGACCTGACCCACTCCCTAGAGGGACAGAATAAAGCATCCACACATCACTGCTCAGTTATCCAGGAACTTGTCGTTCCGGTCCCTCCTCATCTTCTCTTCTTCATCAAAATATCTCAGGCCAGCTCAGACATTCCTCACAGAGCATGACCTCTGACCTGCTACCTCCAAGTCCCCATGATCTGAGTGTGTGTGTCTGCACAAATGTGCACGTGTGTGCCAGAGGTTGGTATTGTGTCTTTCTCAGTCACCTCCCTTATTTCTTGAGATAAGTTAGTTCTCTCACTGCATATGGGGCTCACTGATTCAGCTAGACTGGCTGGCCAGAAACCTCCCGAGACCTCCTGCCTCTGCCCGTGCAATACTGGGGTGCAGGCACAGAGAACTCTGCCCGGCTTTCCGTGGGTTCTGAGTATGGGGTTCGTTCAGCCAGCTCTCTGCTGTTTTGCTACTGTTTCCTGCGACGGAAACACCAGAACAATGGCCCACCGTGGCCGCAGGTCCACTGACCTCCATCCACACATCGTAACCTCACCAAGATGACCAGATTATATGTGCCTCACATCCAGTGATCAACTTTTGATACAGCTTCAAAATAAAAAAGAGTGGACGGAAGAGAGGGTCTTATAAGTTATTAAAAGACCACATCCTCTCTCTGCCTTCGTTAATAATGGAATTACTTAAGAGACCAAGGCCCCAGCAAAGATTATGAATGACAGGTTTAGATAATTAAACCCTAAGATGATTGACCCAAGGTGAAATTCATGGATGCGCCAATGCCCATTTCTGCATTTCTCCTTTCCAGCACCGCGGGGGGTTTGGAAGGGCTCTCTTTAGAAGCTCTGCCTGCCAGTGTCTCCTGATTCTCAACTTTTTTGTCTCAGTTTTTCAGGTGCTCCTGAGGTGAGGTCTTCTTGCAGCTTGTTGGAAACTCACTTTGGGTTTTCCTTTGTGTCTTTGACAGGTCAGCTGAAGGATGCCATCACCCAGCGGCACCTGCAGCAAGTAGCTCTTGGTGAGTACGCTGCAGGGTGTCTGGAATGAATGAAGGGGGGGGGGCTGCAGAATGAAGGCGGTGTATGCTGCCCTCAGAATAAATGGGGTGCCTACAGAATTAAGGAGGTGTATGCTGGCCTCTGAATGAATAGGGGTGCTCTACAGAATTAAGGAGATGTATGCTGCCCTCGGAATGAATAGAGGTGCCCTACAGAATTAAGGAGGTGTATGCTGCCATCAGAATGAAGGGGTGACCTGCAGAATTAAGGGGTGTGTGCTGCCCTCTGAATGAATAGGGGGTGCCTACAGAATTAAGGACTTATATGCTGCCCTCGGAATGAATGGGGGTGTGCCCTGCATAATAAAGCAGTATTGCTGCCCTCAGAGTGAAGAGAGTTGCACACTGCAGAGCCCTCAGGCTAAAGGGGGGTGTGTAGACAAACTTTCTTTTCAGGACCAGCCAGCTCACAGATAATGGCATGGAGACTTAACTATTTATTATGAAAGCCCCACCTTAGCTTAGGCTTGTTCCTAACTAGTTCTTATAACTTACACTAACCCGTATTTTAAATCTGCGTTCTTCTATGTGGCTCAGTTACCTTTACTCTGCCATGCCCTTCCTGCTTCTTCTGCATCTGGCTGGTGACTCTGCCTTTCTTCTTCCAGGCGCTCTCTCTGTCTAGAAGTCCCACCTGGCCCTGCTGCCTTGTAGTTCTTTATTAACTCATCCACAGTGACACACCCTCAACAGTGTGAGGGAATATTCCACAGCAGGGGTGTATACTGCAGAGCGGGAGTGGGCCAAGATAATCCAGATAAATGAGAAACCTCTACACTGGGAGTCAGGAAGGCACCATTGTAGTCTGTGTACCTGCTCTGCAAGAACCAGCTCTCCAACCTGCATGCTTGCACTTGGCCGTTGACAACTGCCCTTCCAACTGCTTCCTATCTCCCAGGCTTTCCCGTCCCATCCCAGCCTGAACCCTGCTCCTAAAGTGCTATCCCGAGTCTTCCAGAGGCAGAGGCAGGACTCATCAGTCCTAACTATAGCGAGTCATGGCAGAACAGCAGCCCATCCGTGTCTGTGATACTGCGGGCACCAGGCCTTTCATCATCACCATCATCACAGGGGCCAGGGCATCCTCCAGACGGGGGTGGTGTGGGGTGGGGGTGGGTCAGTGGCCTGCCTGTTCTCACTTGGAACAAGATGACGGCCCCAGGTCTCTCTGGGCATTCCTCTGTCCTAGCCTCCAACAATGGTTGTCTCACTTCAGTGCATTGAGAATGTCAACAGTAGACACACGATCATATTCCAAGGGGCCTGCTGCACCCTCAGTGGCAGACAGACGCAGAAAATGTCCCTCACCTGGAGGATAGTGTCTTTCCAGAAAGCTGACGGAACATAGCTCTAGAAAACCGCTTCACTTTCTTTCCACTAATGTTCCAAACAAGCCCCCCCCCACACACACACACACACTCGTGATAGCCTGGGTCCTGCCATGACTCACAATGAAGGAGGCCCAGGACCCAGGGCTAATGGAAGGGGAAACAGCACAGGAAACTAATGCCATGAGCGCGACCCCAGTCAGCAATGGTAGTGATCCTGTGAAATGGCACCTGGTGAGACAGAATGTCAGCACACGTATGCCCAGGGCATCTACCTGGCTCTGAGCCACCCACTGCAAGCCTCAGCAGGGCCACACTCCTGCACCTCAGTGCCAGGGATTTGGAACACCTAGAGTTGACATAGAGTCCCATGCCGTATGCCTCGGGGAACCAAGGGGAGGAAGAACAGCCTCTTAGAAAGATACGCCAGCCGACCTGGGTCGTGCCTCCTTACCTGGGCTCACTCCGGGCACGGCACTGGCATGAAGTCGTCCCTCCTGCCCCTTTCACATTGCTGGCTCATTAGAAGTAATGCAAAGGTAGAAATGGCACTCAATGCAGAGGTGGTTTTTCCTTTGGACCTGGAAAAGCATGCTCGTAGCATGACCATTGAGGCAAGGGCTGCTCCATCCTCTCTGTTCCCCAGACCAGAACCTCCCAGGTCGATCCTCCCCACTGGGACAGGCACCCTGAGGGCCATTCTGTGTGTTCTCAGAAATCAGGAGCCTTAATTCCTCTGCCTGCCCCCCTGAGGCCTTCTGTCCTGCACAGGTGTCAGGGTCAGCAGGGCCAGCTGTCCCGAGGAGGCCTTCAGCAACCTTCAGACGGAAGGGACTTGGGCAGAAGTCTAATTAACAGCTTCGGAAAGATCCATGTATTTTAAGAGCATGTTATCCCAATTAGAGATGAGGTGCTAACATCTCCCAGCTGCCGCTTTAGGGACTTGACTCCAGGTTGCTGTCCAGGAGCCTGAGGCCACTGTCTAATAGCTGTGGCCCCACATGACCCCAGTGCACATGGGGTTCTTGTCAGTATGGGAGTCTTTTCCTCCATCCTCACACTGTAGCCCGCACTGTGTCAAAGGCTAGGACTTTGGAATAGCCCTCGGTAGGTTGGTATGGTCTGTGGTCTGCTGTCCTGTCCTGTCCTGTCATTTGAGCTTCTAGTGCAAGAATTAGGCAGTGACTAGCCAGGCAGCATTGGCTCCTCTGCCTTCAGTTTGTGCTACCTCTGCCTTTGCCTCACCCTTCATTTTAGGCCTGACCATTAGTCTTTCTGCATGTCCCTAGGTTTCTGTGGAGGTTACTGGTTGGGGGTACCCTAAGAACCGACCCAATCTAAGCAGGAAAGGTTGGCCAGGACAGCCTGCATAAGGACACATCCCTATATGCAAAACAGATCAGTGTTGGAGGAACTTCACGCATAGACAACCCTATATCCCAAGGAACCTAGTTTCAGTGGTGATGTGAGAGGCGCCATTTGGAAGACATCATTGCTTTGATGAGGGGAATCCAGGGGTGTGCTGGAGCTGGCTCGTTCTACGTCATAAGAACTGGCTCGTGATGTGTCGGAAATATGGGGTGCTGTTATTCAACACAGATGAGGTTGAGAATCAAATTATGTAAGTTTATAGATGCATTATATTTTAAAACAAAAGCAACAAACCCTTAAATTTCATTCTTTGCTAATTATTATCTGTGCATTTGGAGTTATCTGCAGCCACCAACCTCTATGTGAGGGGCGTGGTCTGCACAGTGTGTGCTGTTCTGCATTTCCTCAAGTCCAAATTTATTGACATCACACAACAGCCTAAAGTCAGCCACGATGGGAGAATGCATGAGGAATGGGCAAATCTAAACAAGGGCTTTTCCCCACGTTGCTGCTTTTACTAGCACGGCACTGATGTACAGACAAGCACCCCATGAGGCCAGCTATCTCCTCCTCTCTGGCTACAAACACACATTATGGCCCTCCTTTTGTACCTGCCCAAAGGATGTGGACAAGGAAACTCATGGAGATTGTGGCATGAGGCAGGACCAGCATTGAGCCCTGTGAGTCCCCTGGATGTGGCAGCCTGAGAGATGCAGGGGTGGCCTTGAAGAGACACGTCAATGGCCACACTTGTAAGAGCATTAGCAACAGACATGGCTGAGAGGAGAACTGGGTGCTGCATGCTAGCTTGGGAACAAGCGCCTTGATATTATCTTAGTACAGGCACTACTTGGAGAGTTGAGAGGGTGGGTGCATCTGTATTCTCCTCACTACCTGGAATGGTACAATAGCTGAGGGACCAGAAGAGACAACTAGCCTGTGTCTCTGAGTAGTTTCACAGCATGTCTCTCTGTGTATTTTCTCCTTTAATGCTCACACGATCCCCAGGAGATAAACCCTTATTCTCTAGCTTTCATAAGCAATGTGGTGGGAAAAACAGTCAATGCAGGGTTAGGTTTTACCCAGGACCAGGGAAGCAATGCCCATGTTCAGGCAAGCCTGCTCTGTCCTTTCTGATCCCCAGCCCAGGCCTCACAAGGCTGGTCCCCACATTACAGCTAAGGCTCAAAGTGGTTAGTGGTTATAGATGCATAACCAGATAGCCTGGTTGATTCAAGCTCTGCCAGCTACCACACTGTACTTACTACCCTGCGACTTTGCCTGGCATCCTGGTGTCCATACAGGGGCACAGAGCTAAGCCTGCCCTCCCAGAATCTCTAGTCTAGCTAGAAGTGGATGAGTACTGAGAAGAGGTCAGCTTTGAGCTGCCTACGTCTCCATCCCCCGTCCTTTCCCTTGCATGCACAGAGCATGCTCAGCCTTGACCCCTTCCAGACAGACTTCCGTGGCCTCTGCCCTCACCCCCACCTAGCCTCTTCTCCCAGGTCTTGTTTTCCTAAGTCCTGTGTGTTTCTGAGCTCACCAGTCTCATTTTATAATGACAAATAATATCCAAGCTATTTTCCGCATTAAAACATGAACTCCTTGAAAGCTGAGTATGGAGGAATTCAGCTTTGTGTCCCCAGCAGTAAACAGGCCAGATCAATGGGCCAATGGATGCATCTCCAGACGCTTCCAGACCCACACATCTCACAATACAATGAGACATTTGAACATAAAATAAAATAAGTCCATTTAAAAGAAGTGGAAGGAGTAAGTGCTTTTGGACCTCGCAGCTGAGCAAATTACACACACAGGCAATAAATTTGGCTCTCTCTTGTCTAGCCGCAGAGCAAAAAGAAGCACCCAGAATTCCTGAGTTTTCATTTTCTGACAGCAGGGAGCACACTAACTAATTTATCTGCAGAAATAGAATTTCTTCCTGGAAACTAAGCACAAGACAGAATTTATTGTGTGGATCCTCATGTAAAAAACACCAAGTGACATCAGGAATGATATCATGTGAAGGGCACCTAGTGACACCAGAATGATGTCATGAGAAGGACACCTAGTGACACCAGAATGATGTCATGAGAAGGACACCTAGTGACACCAGAATGATGTCATGTAAATGACACCTAGTGATACCAGAATGATGTCATGTGAAATATACCTAGTGACACCAGAATGATGTCATGTAAATGACACCTAGTGACACCAGAATGATGTCGTGTGAAGGACACCTAGTGACACCAGAATGAT